TCCATACGGCACGAAAGCCATGGGGAGGGTGTGGGGTTCTGTCATATTACTGAATACAGGAATCTTTGTTTACGAATTTTATTCAAACTTTATAGACTGAACATTATGGTTTATGGGACCTTAATGTACATCATTTTAGGGGGGGGGGGCTTGATTATAAAATTATTAAGACAAAATGTTTTTTTTTTTTGGAGGGCATCAATGCCTCCATGAAGTTAAAGCCGTACATTCATAGATAGTAAAACACAGCTCAGCACAGCATGAACTTTATTCTGAGTGCATATCTAACCTAATTTTTTAATATCAAAACTTCAAAAGATTTGCTATAGGCTTACCAAAGTTTTTGGTGTAATATTGAAGGGCATTAATTATGACATTTTGTGGTACGGTGCTGAGACATTTAGACAATCACCTCCATGGTTTCCGAGAGGTACTATATAGCCCTGCTATACAAAATATCATACATGGTATTTTAAAATGACTTCACTGACATTAGGTATCAATATGATTCATAAGATTTGTCACCTGTGCATGCGAGAAGCAGCTAAATGATGAAACCATGAATTTAAAACCCACTGAATATGCCTGAAATGCTAAATCAGTGAAATTTAAATCCAGTAAAAATTAGTCATTTTACAGTATATAATAATGTATCAGCATTTACATACTTGCTATCAACAAAGGAATTACAATGTGCATTCAGGGTGTGTGCTGTATTCAAATAAAGATTGACATTGATAAATAAATGATTAATATTCACAATAAAGCACTTTACTGATTTTTAGTGTTCTCTCATAGAAATAATTAAATTGTGAATTTACAATTCAGTAGTGAACAACTTAATTGGACTTTATTGACGTTAAACCTATTTAATGGTAAGTGTTGTATTTTATGTCGTGTTTAAGCTACACAAACAAAAATAAATGAATTTCTTTTTTTTCCCCATTTTTTGATACCTTTTTCTTCGATGAGTGAAAAACCATTAATTTTGATTGACCAATTCACTAATCAATTTCTGATTTGAGAACAAGATAACAACAAAATGTATTTGATTGTTCTATCACAAAACTCAACAAAAAGAAGTTACTTTTTTCTTCATCACTACAAAATGCAGTTTCTCATTAAAATTATCAAGCTTATTTTCTAATTCCTTAAATCTAAATTGCTGATAGTTTTAATAAACAGATTTTGATCAACATTTAAAAAACGTTTTTTTGGAGAAAATTATCGATGACAGAAAATAGTCAGGATCAGGCACTAAATATATCAAATTACCGCTGGGCAAAGTATTACTTTACCGTTGGACACCTGGTGAGCACTATGGTTAACCTGTTTAATGACCTTACTGAGGTATACAATGAGAGAAATAGAAAACTATTATACTATCTAGATTATATTCCTAGTTTAGGGTCCCTAGAAAGTGTTTTAAATTAAGTTTTTTGTTTGGTAGCCTGGTAAATTATATCTAGGTTTCCAATTTCAGAATCTGCTATACCCGATATGTTAGCATTACAGCACAGTTAATTGTCACACATTTTGTGATCAAATTAATTAAAGTACTCGTATATATGCAAATGTGTGTGATATTTTGAACAACTTGTATTAAACATCACATTTATTCTACATGACATCTATGCTTGTAAGATTTAAAAAAAATAATAGACTAGTGAATCTGCCTGGTGTTGTGGGCGGGACAAATGTACGGGTCAGTCTACACATGCAAGTTCCCACTCAGACAGCCAATCAGTGATAACACACAATTCTGTGGCAACTATATAGTTACATATACTCACTAGACTATTCTTGAATGTACTCGGAATGACTGGATTCAAGGCTACATTACATTACGTATAATGATTTACATGTATGCTTGTGTTTCCAGAATTGCATTTTCTATTCTAAGACAATGTCTAAAAAACAATTATACCTTGTTATCAGGACACTATTTTATGAATGCATCTTTCAAAATTTTCACACATTTTATGAATGCACATATTTCAAAATCAAAAACAGAATTTATTCTTTTTTTGGTCATTATAATACAACTAATTTTCACTAAGAAATCTACAGATTACATATTTAAGTGACTGCAATTACAACAAAGGTAAATGTTGGCAATCAGTCTATGACAACAATAGCAACACCAGCTCACCTGTACTTGAAATGCTACAATGTATTGAGCGTAGTTCATAGGTCAGACATATACATAATTATTCACACAGAGCACTGTTAATTGTCAGCTGGTTTGAGTCTTTACGCTTTTAGCGACTATAAATAAACAATGATTCCAAAGTTGGCCTAAGATTCAGATTTGTAAAACTGACAATATTCTGCTAAATATTTTTCTCTCTAAAACTGTCATTATTAATATGTGCTTTTGTTTGGTTCAAATATTGGCAAAAATTAAAAAAAAAAACTGAGATGACATGTACATCTGAAAATTCAGAAGTAATTTCTGATAGGAACACATGCAGTGACTTTCATTGCAATAAATCATATAAATGTGAGCATAATAACAAAAGTATATGCAATTTTTGTAATTAATTTCCTTTTTAATTGTAGATCACAGTGAGAAATCTTGTCACTGCTTCAGTTTATGGGAAAATAACATGAATTTTGAATATCTATTTTGAGAAATGTGACAACATCAGATGAGAGCTGGAATATAATCAGCATTAATTTTATTGTAATTTACAAGAATTTTTTTTTCAAAAGTTTCAATTAATAAAACACTTCATTATATAATTGTTTTTTCAAGATAAGAAACAAGAGACAGAAGTTTGCAACCACAAAGATCTATGTGAACATTTTGTTTAAAAAAATAAGTACCTTTGGTAATTTGTAAAGCATGTTGATGGTTTTTGAAGAAAAGGAAGGAGTGATTCTTTTAAAAAACAAAAATCCACAAAATAAGTTGACCAACAATCAACTAATAATACTAATACATGCCTTCACATGCCAAAATACCAATCTTTTAGAGAAAAACATGGAAACATTCTTCGAGACTGAAAATACCTGAAAAAATACAAATTCCATGTGATATTTTGATGTAACTTTTTGTTTGATTTCATGCATAATGCTGGATCTCATGAAGTTTAGAAAACGTATTAGGATATGCTACTGTACTGCAAATTATTCAAGCCTACAAGGAAAAAGAAAACTATAGACGTGCATACAGTCTCTTGTCAATTTTTTGATGTTTTTTCAATAAAATAAAATATTATGGGAGTGTATTAAAAATCCTTCAAAAGCCAGGAACAGTGGGATAAACACAAAACTATAAAAAAAACTATTGAATCGTGCGGTAAATATTGAACATGGATCTAGGATTAGCACTAAAAATGTCTGACGTCAAGAACACAAAAAGATTTGTTTCCATCAGTGCGCAACACATGCATTTCCCCCCAAGAATATTGGTAAAATGCAAGAAAATCAGCAAGAGAATTGTTAACAGATAGCCATGGCTGCTAAGAATGGTATAAAACAACGTCAATTGGTGATGTGTTAATATCTCAGGACCTGAAATTTTTTTCTGTTCCAAATCAAAAGTAAAATCTGATAATATTGTTTCAGACTAACCCACCTGTAATTATGTACAGTGATTTACTTGTGTCAAGTGTGCAGTCTGTTTTTGACCTCCACAAAGTTGTTGTCTACAAAGGTAACCAGCAGGAATTCAGTCAACGCTAGTGGTAACCATGCATGCTCTGTCAAACTGCCGGAATTTGTATTTTGTTGTTTTGAAAGTTTTAGGTGCCGGAGTAGAGGCGAATCGGGTTACACTCACGGCCCGTTACACAGTAACAGTAATACCATTACTTCAACTAACAGGCCATGACTCAATTGATCTCTACATAAGGCAGCGTTTTTTGCTAGTTTCACTTTCTACTATAGTATTATACATTTGTACTAGTTTTGATATGACAAATTCAATGTGATCTGTCTAGTCAAAGCTCACGTTCAGGGTTAAATGGGGATTTTGTGGTTGAATTAATTCGTTAAAATCTACAGGTGGTTGGTGTCACTCGGGCCGAGTCAGGGTGTGTGTGAAGTTTGCTATTAAAGTCGTTAAAATCAGAACTGCTTTTCGAGTCGTGTTTGTGTAATGTAAATTACAACTCATAACACAATGCGCTGAATATAAAATACGAGTTTCCTGGGCTAGCTGCGAAACGCAGTCGGCCGGGCACAGTCGACTCGGATGGCGATCACCATACGAAAGTGATCCGATTCGCCCAGCACTATGAAGTCATTGTAGGAAAATGGACGCGTCTCTTCGATTTAGGACGAAATATTAATTTTCCCGCGCTTCATTAAAGCGAACAAAATGCATCATTGACAGTAGGCTGTTCAATTACCTGGAAAGGTGATGGGTTAATCAGTGATCCGATCTGTAATCCCCTCCACAACAAAAGGAAGACAACAACCACACGCTAACAGTGAAAGTGCTAACAATAGAGGTCTAGCCCCGACTTGGTCACATGATGTTATTAGCGCGGCTTGATTGGTTGATTATTTACTTCCGGGCATCGTGAACTTATTTCAGTTCACAGAAAAGTCTGGCAGATTTTCACGATGGAATAACAATTCAGGGCACAGACTGGACTTGCAAAATCGGGACTTGGTTTTTGTTTTACAAAAAAAAATATAACTAATTTTTAGCGTGATCGCGAAAACTAGCGTGACGGCGAAAGAAATCCCAGTCCAGTCGGGATTTCTTTAGCGGTGCTAAATACGTATTGGGCTCTTGAAAAGGTGAAAATTAATTTAGGATATACTTTTGCGTAAGTGAGATGAAGTGGTAATTTATTTATCAACATGATACTATTAAAGTAACATGTTTTTCTTGAATAGTAACCCATTGAGGTGGCACATACGGTTAAAGCCGAATAATCACATCGAGTTGCCTATTGCGCGCCCTCTGTCGTCTGCCTGATATATTTATTGACTTAACGAACCGCCCCATTAAAGACGTCAGGCAAGTTAGCATGATCGGAGATCCAGCTAGTCGGAATTGCTTTACGATGACAATTTGTAAAATGTATGGAAAGGTCCTGGAAGTGACTTCTCAAGAATTAGCGATATTTCCTATCTCTAATGCGTCACTATCTTTCACTGGAATCGGGGTATTTTCCTTGTTCATAGACCCGACTTTAGACCGAAACTTATTACCGTGACGCGATGGTGAAGAAGCAAAAATGTCGACACTTGCAATGGTCTCTATGTGCCTACACTTCATAAGTGCTATTTTGCATCTGTCACGTGATTTGCTCATTATCGTATAATATTTTGGGTTTACAACACCCGGCCCATAACTTATAGTGTCCTGCATATTAGCATAAACATCTTCTATAAATTCATTTCGTCGCAGAACAAAAGTCGAAAAACGATTTCCTATAAGAAAACAAGGCTTGGCGAGGCATGGTTATCACCTGAATAATTTCATTGTAAACTATGTTTATGCATTTCTTATGAGTAACTGGAGATAAATTTATATGCTATCGCCAAAGTTGTAAACATAAACTGTGTATTGTACAACTATCAATTGTATTAATCAGTCCTGTACATTAATGTTGCTTATATATGAAGATATAACAAAAGTGTTTCAGGTATTAAAGTTTATACTGTAATATCCCATGTTTTGTATATATTCATAAAATATATCAAGATGATTTTATTGTTAAAAATAGATAGATATACCCCCCCCCCCTAGCCATTAACTTATGGCGCAACTGCACACCCCTACGCCTTTATACATTTATACGCAACTTAAAAAAATACATTTGCTGCCCCGGCCCTGACCTGTTGAGATATGTGCGAAACTATGCCAGTTTATGGTGGGTTTCTTTGTGTCGCCAGTAATGACAAGCCAACAAGACGTAAAATTGATACAGAAAGCAAAACACTGACAAGGGATCCGTTTAATTTAACAAGTAGTTCTTCGTATCAAAAATAAAAGAAACGCGTTTATCGTTCAATATCATGAAAAGTAAATGTAGTTAGTAAGACAAAGAAACCCAACATTTTAATAAAATTACTACATTTTTATTTATACAATCTTGAATACATTATAGGTGTGTATGGCTTCGAAATACAGTTCGATAACAATTATTCTAAGTCCTTCTTACAGTACTCATCGGATATAATTTGTTGTTGTTAGATGTAACAATGAATTTATCGAAAAAAATAATCATACTCGTGTAAACGAATGAATCTGGAATAAGAAATATCACACATTATAATAATAAACTACGTCCTACGAACATGTTATTCAAAATTACATTTAACAAATTCATTTCGTCGCAGTACAAAAGTCAGAAAACAATTTCCTATAAGATAACAAAGCATGGCGAGGCATGATTATTACCTGAATAATTTCATTGTAAACCATATTTGTACATTTCTCATGAGTAACGAAGTTATATGAACAGTTAAAGAGCGGTAGTCGTGTAAACAAATGAATCTGGAATAAGAAATATCATACATTATAATAATAAACTATGTCCTACGAACATGTTATTCAAAATTACATTTGTCTTAGATTTTTAAAATATCAAACATATTCATGTGTTATTGCTAATGGAACTGAAAGTACATGTTTTCAGCAGGATTAAGCTGCGTGGTTTGTAAACATATTTAAAAAAAATGATTCGCTAAATAGAAAACAGATAAATCACCAGAGCGTACTGTTTAATAGTTGACGTCTTGGACGGACTCTTGTGTAAATATATCGTATTGTTGCACACATATTATACGGTAACGTGATACGTAATCCAACGACAGGCTTGTGTATCATACTCGAATACTCTTGGTACCTGTACAAATGATTTATGAATATTATTATTTATTGCAGTTAAATCATGACGAAACACTTCTCAAAGAAAATCGTCAATTGCAAGTTTTTGAAAACTGCCGATATTTAGAGAATATATTACGCATTGCTATACACGGTCATAGCAATGTTTTTGAAATGAAGATGCCATTGCATTACGCCGATTTTACAGTGATAAAAAATGTAGATCAAGTGAGAATGTAAAGATACATACAGATCGTACAACAAAATCACACCACACGAAACTAAGGACAATATATATATTGCATGTTATGTAATTTACATACATTTCAATTTTGAAATATATGTATATATCAACACGCAAATGTTAGAATATCATATTTCGCTAATATATCCGTTAAATAGACAATATAACTCATAAAATCAATAAATATATTGTTATTCACAAATACAAGTTTTGTCTGTATATGTATACATACTATACCTGTTATTTGCGTTTACCACCGCCTACCAAGACATCAGGGTCTGCCTTCATGTCGTTGCTCTCACCGCAAGTTTCATGCAATGGATATACGCTAGTATTCTTCTTCTTCTTTACAATGTACCTTCAAAAATAAATAAATTAATTAATTAGTTATGTTTTCAGTATGGCATTTACTCATCTTGGACATTGTTGTCAGGTAACTTACTTTTTCAACAGAACACCTACAGTCACTACGGCGGCAATAGCAATGAACAACCCAATAGAAAGAGGTAATAGCCAGATATTGTTGGTATCGCTTTCATCAGGGTGTATTGCGACATCGCTTGTAGTAAGTTCAACTTCAGAAGTGTCACACGAGCTGTCTGAAATATCAAGGACAGTAGCGGTTTAAGTAAACAAGTATAATTCTCAAGATGCTTTCTCAATTTTTTCATACTCCCAAGAAACAGTAAATTATAAACACCTAAAACTTCGGACCATTCATCGCCTGTGTTCATCGGTTGACATTCTAGACATTCGTCGAATGGACTTTTTTTCACCAGAGACATAGCATTTACCACTGATCAAACACGTATTATCCTGCATAATAATAGAAACGTGAATAGTGTTATCAGGTAATTTTGTAACGTATGAAATATAAATATCACAAACACATGACCCAATTATAATTGACGTGATACTTACCTTTTGTTGACAGTCTTCAGATGTAGAACAGTTCAGGCAAAGAGAATCATATGTTACAAATAATGTACCATTGCTTTCCACGGTCCCATCGTTGCTAACTGATATTCTCATTCCATGCGTGGAAGACCCCTCATCGACTGGAGAAACCACTTGTCTCCGTACTCGTGACACTGGCAGGTAACAAAACAAGGTATATGCACCCGCATATACTCCAATGGCCTTGAAACTTTCTCCAGTTTCTATCCATTTTCCGTTCGTAAACTGAATTAAATATATAACTATTTTCACTATATATATATCACTGTAACGTAACTGTAATACACCGAAATAGGCACCAATCCTTGGAAGCAGTAGACAAACTCGAGTATTATACACAAGGTAACAAAAGCAATATACCGATTAGGTCATCATCCTTGACCTATCGAGTCGAGAAGAATCAAAATGAAAATATAACACACTATACCACCCATGTCAATACATAAATAAAATAGGACGATGAGAACAGCATATGTAACCAGTGGTGTTTTAGGGGTGTTAACATTCGGCCCCTTAACAAATCGTATTGTTTTACATTTTTTTTGGAAACGGAAAAATGTCTGCGAATAAGTTGACTAGTTAACACACGACTCCCGCCCTTCCAAACTCCTTCAGCTTCCCCCTCAATCGTCGCATAGCTAATAGGAGCGGACAATATTTCGATTTTGTTGTAGTTAGTACACGTGTTCATTGTGAAAAAAACGCTAACATTCGTATCCCAAAGAAAAGTGTGACCAAATATTATCTTCTATATATCATATCTTTACTATATCGACACTTTTAAACTAAAACAAATGTAATAATCGGATTAAAACTCTCTCGCATCCCATGCCCTCCCCTGGATGCACATGGTTCACCCTTATCGAAAGGATTACCTTCCCACTAAATTGACTCCGTTTCACGATTTCAGTTTCGAATCTAACACCAATACCTCTTTGGATAATAAACGCTTTAAAGGCCGGAATGTTAAACTGGTGAATGGGCGCGTTTTTGATGAACCCTACAACATCCAAATGGTTGAAGAGTTTCACGTGATATGCAATATTGAGTACGCGTGGTTAACATTTGCCACAAAATAATTCTATTCGCCAAAAGTGAAAAAAAGACAACGGGGCGTTATTATGTTTGCTTGAGTAAGAACAAGAATACTTAAAAGGGTAAAAACTGTAAATATGTAATATTGAATATTCCCGGTTCTTATGCGATGGCCGCGAATGGTCGCGGATTCTTATTACCTGCATTTCTCGTACGTGGCAGGTTAAGTTATCGCTGTTGATTATCCCCGCCACATCGACTGATATCCTTTCACATGGTCGTTTGCGCACATCGCATATACTGCTTCCAACAAAACCAAACATTTCTGGTGGCTTTCCCGTCTCAATACTGCAGCCAGGACCAGTAAACCCATGCTTACATATACACTTTCCTTCCATAGTGCAATTCCCATTTCCACTACAATGACTTGGACATACAGCTGTCATTACTGATGCCGGGGGTGCCAACTCTCCTTCCTCATTCTCTTCCCACAAAGACGTGTTTTTGCTCACAGTAACCTGGCAAGCATTCTCCATAGTGGTACGAGCTGAATCCACAGCAAAGAAACTATCTGCTAACTTTAAATTGAAATCATTATTGTTATTATGAATACATACCTGTAATTATACTGCCTATTCTGGTTTATTTTCGGTAAGAACCCAATTTGTGCGTAGCAAAGAACGCTACTCAACAACATGCAGATTACACACTAGTCAAAATGTAGTAACTGTTAACAGTAGTGTATTCAAAATATTGTTGTTTTTTTCATAATATTTAATACCTCCAGCATGACAAAAAATATTGCATGGTTTTCGTAATGGAATTTAAGGTTAAAAGTTTATGCAGGGTCAGATTACAGAAATGAAATAAAACGCAATGTCTAAATACAAGTCATTGAAAATGACACAGTCCCCGTTAAATTTTTGAAAGTTCTCTTTGAGCTCGTCATATTAAAGCGGAGGGGTTGTCGCGAGCGTGTCCTTGAAACTTGAGTTCCAAGTGGCGTATACAACAGATTGTTTGACACGTGTTCCGTGGCCAAAAATAAAAACAGCCGTTATTTGGCCATCTTTGATCTGATTATGAAACACACTGATATGTATGATGTATGCCAAATACGAATGAAAATGGTACATAAATTGTGGAAATATAGTAGTAAGGCCAAAAAGTCAGATGGCTGTCAATCGGCCATCTTTGACCATATTTTGAAACAAATTGTCATGGACATGCATTCTAACATGTATAAAGTACATGTATGTGCCAAATGTGAATGAAAACATACAGAGCACATCCAAGATACCGCATAAAAAAACAAGATGCCTGCCAGTCGACCATCTTTGATCCAATTGCGAAATAAATCGTCATGGACATGTATCCTAACATGTATAATCTATGTACCAAGTTTGAATGACAACTGACAAAGCATGTCCAAAATACATTTTCAAAAAACAAGATGGCTGCCAGTCGGCCATTTTGAATCGAATCGCTAAACCACTGCACGTGTATATGTCCCAAATAAGGTACTAGGCACATGCAAAGAATGAACGGAATCTGTCCACAGGATTCTGAAATATGACTCTGGACAGACTGACGGACGGACACACGGACGGACGGACGGACAGACAGACAGACTCAAGAACTCACGGACGGTCGGGGACATCCTAACATGTATGATCTATGTACTAAATTTGAACGAAAACTGACAAAGCATGTCCAAAATACAAAATTTTCAAAAAACAAGATGGCTGCCAGTCGGCCATTTTGAATCGAATCGCTAAACCACTGCATGTGCATATGTCTCACATAAAGTACTAGGCACATGCAAAGAATGAACGGAATCGGTCCAAGGGATTCTGAGATATGACTCTGGACGGACGCACGGATGCACAGACGCACGGACGCACGGACGGAGACCGAATTATAAGTCCCCGTTTTCGGACTTCGTCCGAATGGGGACTAATAAACACCTATAACGTTATCATTTTATTTCAAAATATATATCGCTATGATGATGACAACTTTTGAACTTGAGTATGCAAAACAACATCGTATAGACCATTATGTTATAGTGAATATTGAACAAATAGTTATATGGCCACAGGGTAACGTATAAAGAAGAGGTTAGCAAAGGTACCTGAATATCTGCGACACAGTCTTGAAGTGTCTGGTCTATGGTATCTCTAAGCTCCTCAAGTTCCTCACAGTAGTTGGCAATATTGGATTCATAAATCACCAACAAACACTTCTGACGTGCCTCTTCCTCAGTTATATTACTTGGTGTCGGCCACGCAATTACGACTGGGACCAAGTCGTCTTCTTCCTCAGGCAACTCAAATTGTTCAGGGTCAAATAATTCGTAATCATTGTATGCTGAATCAACGCTTCTTTTGTTATCATCGAGACTGCAAGCAATTGGTTGATTACCCTTTACGCTTTTGTGTTCGCATTGAATAGACACTTCGGTGTCTACTAAGGGGTCTTTAAGACATTTGCATTTAGGATATAAAAACGAATATTTGGTATCATAATCCCAAGCATTATCGAACAGGCTCTGGCCTTTGATTAATCTGAAAGAGATTAAGATACGATGAATGCATGTCAATGAATAACACTTGTCAATATTTAGTGGCCTCTGTGGTACTATCGATCAAACCAATAATCTTTGCCCCTATTAAGCAACTATTTTCATGTTACTTTTCTTCATTTTGCATGTAACAATCATAATTGTGATTATACTTCGCCAACAATTCATTAAAAATGATTTATCACGAGAGGTCACGTGATGGCAGCAATGTGAACCGAGCGACCTTTCGCTGCTCCCAGAACTTCAAAATTTGGGATTACCCACTGTGGTATGAGTAAATAATCTTATCAAAATATTGCTAAATATACATGGACTGAATATGGCAGGTGGAGGGAAAAAGCGTGACAGAGTAAAGAAAAGTACCGATCAAAAGAAGATTACAAGCTTCACTACAGATGACGGGCCAGGGGATCATGGCGACTCCAACCACGAGGCAAGTGATAATTCGATCGATGACGCAATGTTTGAAAGTAATGTGCGACCCATAGAAAATCTGACAAAGATTGTGCAAGATGGATTTCGAGAATGTTCTAAAAGAAACCATAGAGGAGGGATTCAGAGATGTGGCCAAAGTAGTACAGAGATTGGAAACCGTTGAACAAAAACAGCGGGATCTGGACGAGGCTGTTATTCAAAACAGTGCAGACGTTCAAGAAATTTCGCGGGAAGTCGATACACTGAAGGACGAATTACAGCTGCTTCGTGGGGATTATAGCAAAATCCAAAATGAAAATATCAAGATGTTAAGATATTCACATGGTTTGAACCTCCGATTTTACGGAATCCCAGAAGACGGAGAGGGCAAAGAGTTAGATACGATGCGTGAGCTTGTTTGGGAAAAATGGTGTGGACCCGCACTCAGCGGAAAACGCCCATCGTACTCCAGCATGGCCGCGCAAGTTGATAAACAGAAAAGACCCCGACCAGAGATTGCCAAGTTTCTATACCGCCAGACAAGAAGAAATATCCTGGTTTCAGCGAGGAAATTGGTGATGAGTACGCATATCTATATTAAAGAAGATCCTGTCAGCACGACTATGAGAAACGGCGTAAAATGTTACCGATTATGGAAAAGACGTATCACGAGGAAAAAAAACAAGATTTCAAAACAAAACATTGTATATCAATAGAAAACCCACAGTGAAACGAATGATTGAAACTTTGAAACGTGTGATTGAAAGTTCTTTCACCGAGTGGTCGGTCGACCTGCTTTTCGATATTTTACTGGCGGGTTTGCGTTTGATCAGTGTTTTTTTCATTCAAGTAACGACCTGTCGAACGTTGTATTTGTGACATTCAAGACTGTCTTCACCTAGGTAACGAAGTGTACAACGATGCTTTATGATACTACAAAGCACTTCTGTTGCGACACTTTACTTCACTTTTCAATTGTAGGTGAATCTATGTTCGGGGGTGGCACCATCAATTACGCTTAGTGTTTCGTTTGGACGACCTTTAAACTTTTCGGCCAGGTGTAGTCTCGTGACCCTGTCAACATGGTTTACCGCATTCGAGCGACTCTGTTGACTTTCGCCATCCTCTTTTTGGATACAGGCCCCCTGCGGTCAGTCTCTAAATATGAGTTGTTTTCATGATTTTTTTTCTGTATTTGTGTTATCTTCATTCATACAAAACTGGAGTGCAAATTAAAATGAAAACCTGGGTCTTGTTATTAGATAATGAAAACTATACAATATTATCATGCAAACTATATCTAACCTAAAAATCTTATCTTTGAATGTAAGGGGGCTGGGTAACTAAAAAAAAAAGAAAAACTGCTTTTAGATTGCTAGCTAATACGAATGCTAATGTCATTATGATCCAGGAAACTCATAGTAGCCAAAAAATAGTAAATATTGGGAGAGGCAAATGAAAGGGGACATGATTTTTTCACATGGGCAAAATAATAGCAGAGGGGTTCTTACAATTTTTTGAAGTGTTGACTTTGACATTAACAATGTTTACCGAGATGAAAAGGGGAGATTTCTAATTATTGACGCACAGGTAGCCAATAAACATCTTATTCTAGTTAATTCCTATGCCCCAAATATGCAGACGAAACATGTGTCTTTTCTGAAAGACATAATTAAAACAATAGAACAAATTGTGTGGGGCGGAGACCATAATGTTGCATTAAACTTAGAATTAGATAGAAGAGGGGCAATCCTAAGCCTTATTAAACATTCTTAAAGAAACAATGGAATCACTTGAGTTGATTGACATCTGACGGGTTATGAACCTAGATAAGCGGGACTTTACATGGAGATATTTTCGTCCTGAAATTATCCCTAGTAGAATAGATTTCTTCCTTACCAGTTATTCATTGCAAGTGGATACTCAAAATACTAACATTGTACCATGTGCCTTCACTGATCATTCCGCTATTGTATTAGAATTACCCTAGTACGACACAAAAAGGGAGCCATCATACTGGAAATTGAATAACAGCTTGCTTAAAGACCCAAATTGTGTTAAATTAATTCATGAACATTTTACAACTTGGCTAGCTGAGGGGGCGAGTTGAACGATATTGGCCTGAAGTGGGACTGGGTGAAATGCAAAATTAAAGAAGAATCAATTAAGTTCAGTAAGCAAAAAGCAAAAAAACTCAAAGCAAAAACTGCTCAGTTAGAACAAAAATAATGAAATTGCTGTAAACCAAACAACAGCTGAAGCACAATAAATTGAAGAAATAACAGAAATAATAGAACACGAATATAAATATGTAACCGATTGAAACTTTATCAGGTCACACAGTAATTGGTATGAACTCGGTGCAAAAAACAATAAATATTTTTTGCAGCCAGAAAAATTTAATTGCAAACTATCTCAAATAAACAAAATTATTAACGCCAGTGGGAATGTCAGTAGACCCACAGAGGTCAATCGTGAAATTAAAATTTTCTATGAGAATTTATATTCAACAAAAGTGAAAGAAACTAACAGCAATGCGGAAAATTTGACAATCCAAATATTACAAAGCTGATTCTTACAAATTGTTTTGGCCAACTGTCGGTACCCACGTAGTAAACTCTATAAACTATGCTTTCGAGAATGGCAAATTTTCAACATCTCAGAGGCAAGGGATAATAACCCTGTTACAGAAAAAAGGCAAATATAGAAGATTTATTAAAAACTGGAGGCCAATATGTTTACTCAATATTGACTATAAAATTGGGACAAAAAGTCTTGCCAAGCGTATGGAAAGGGTGTTACAATCTATTATTAACGATAGCCAGTCGACCTTTGTGAAAAACAGGAACATCGGAGACGTAGTAAGATTGATAGAATGTGTGATGGAATCCACAGAAAAACTAAATTTGACCGGCATTTTACTGATGACCGCCTTTGAAAAGGCATTTGAATCCTTGGAGTTGAATTCCTTATACAGGGCACTGGAGGCATTCAACTTTATGGGTAAACTTTCTAAACTGGATTAAAACACTATACAAACATTACTAGCTGTGTTATGAACAAGAGCTTCAGTACTGGATATTTCGCTTTGCATCCGGGGGGGGGGGGTAAGGCAGGGTGTGTTTCACCAATGTTGTTCATCCTAGTGTCATGAATTAGTTTTCGCGTATCTGTTGACTGACTTATTTAGCTGATTATTAGTGAATGGCTGTGTTATGTCTGTCATCGTTTAGGCTCATGCGAGGTCCTGGACGGAACTTGACTCAGTGATTTGGAACTAATTACGATATAACCGACGCTATCTGGACCGCTATTTCTGACAGTTGGGTATTCGCAGTTAGTAATATAGTGAACGATTAATCAAAAGATATGACGTGTCCAGTACTTAGTTTGATTGGCTATGTGCAAGTTGAATGACTGAAGGCCACGCCTTAGAGTCTTAAACTGCTTTGTAATTGGTTAAGGTTTTGAAAGTGAATAAACGAGTTTTAGTTGGTCTTGGCGAGAACACCCCAAGGTACGCAGTCTTGGGTCAGCCTTGCGATAGTCTTGGGGACTTTTCCCCGGGGCGCTGTGTCTTATAGTGTACTCGACTGATCGACTAAAGACGAGAGTTGATACGTACTTCGTTGTGTGTGTCTATTTGACTGTAGATTTTAAGTGACGTTCCCGATCCCGTACCTCAAGCAGACGAGATATAGAGACAGACGATATTCCCCCCTGATACGTATTGGAGAACCCCAGAGGAGAAGAATTTCCCCGTGATACTAGCTCTAGAAATTCGTCTTGTCTCCCTGTGTTCCAATGACAATGTAAAAGGGATTAAAATTGGCGACATTGAAGTGAAATATACAGCATTTGCTGATGACCTGACATGTTTTGTTAAAGATATCCACTTCTATTAATACATTCACTCAAATTTCAGGCTTTAAAATTAATACGGAAAAAGGTGAAAGCATGTGGTTAGGTACATTTGAGCATGATAAATCTAAACCGTTGGGTATTGTATGGCCAAATGACATAATTAAAATTGTTGGTGTGTTCTTCTCATACAACTCAAGTGCTTCATTGAAATTAAATCTGGCGAATGTAAAGGGAAATTTAAAGAAAAGGCTCAATTTATGGAAATTTAGAAACCTTACACTCATGGGTAAGATCCAAATTATTAAAACTATGGCAATTTCAAGACTTCATTACATTATTAACCTAGTGGACATACCAAACAAATATCTGAAACAAATGAACGCAATGTTTTTTAAATTTCTGTGAAGGGGCCCAGATAAGAATGCAAGGAATACAGTTATAAATGATGGTGGGTTGTCAATGCCAGACATCCATGCCATTTATTATACAGCCCAATGAATTAACTGGTTGCGACGATTGCGTGACAATAAAGTGTTACATCCATGGAAAACAATCATTTTAGACAGATTGAATCCAATTGGTTGACTTTCAGTTTTATTGAATTGTAACTTTGACCCTAAAGTCCTGCCAGTGAGGTTACCACTGTTCCTTTTAAACTTATTACAAACTTGCGTAAGACTGAATTCGGACAGCAAACGAAAATGCATTTCATGAGCAAATAATTTGGAATAACAAACAGATTCTTCTGGGAGGGAAATCGGTCGTCATTCAGGATTTTGTTGATGCTGGAATTTTGTTTGTTAAACAAACGTATGGGGAAACTGGGAAACTACGGGCATGGGAGGAGAT